ATACACATGTGAAATATGAAAGCCATAGCTCCAACCAATCAAAAGTTATGGGCAATGTTAAAGTTTTTGCGGACAAACAGACAAACAGACGGACGGACAGGGCAAAACTATATACCCCCGAAATCTTCGATACGGGGGCATAAAAAATATAAACATGTACTTTGCTGAGCAAGATAACAGAATATTTCTAAATGTTAACGTCTTTTTTAGTCTTCTCGTATGAATGTATAGAGTATTTTGTAAATGTAAAGAAATTTGCGTTATTTTCACCTGCAGTTCTAACAGAATTGCGATTTCGTGGGGAAAAAATACGTTTACAGTGCATGTGGGTAGCAGAATACTCTTACAAAGGCCTCGGTTAACCTCCCTACGCTCCTTATATACCTCGGCACCAAGCCAAAAATATCTCGCCGTGAACCCTCTAGCATGCTGGAGTAGGTAGCAGCATTAGTTCCTTTCTTTGTAAATCTTCTTCCTGTTTCCAAGAAAGTAAAATGAACCATTTTCAGTTTCGCATAGATTGCGTAAATCTGTAAAATTAATGAGGCATTTTATGACAACTTCGACGTTTATCAATTATTGACATCGATCTTCGGAAATTTTCTTCCTGTTTCCCTGAAAAAAGGATCCAATTTCAGAATGAATATGTTTATATATACCTATTTGAATCATTTATTTCTCTTTAAATTCTGCAGAAGTTACTACGAAGGGGTGTTTTAAAAAAAGGGATAAATTACATATAACATGGCTCTAAGCTTCAACAGGACGAACTTTAATGTTCGAAACATCACAAAAACTGTTTCTGTACCAAATTCACCTGTCGCCAAATTGATGTATTATTTTGAATGTGTGTGTACACTACTAGAAATGGACACTTCGGACACACCCAACTTACATCGATTGAAGCAGTACAACCTGTACTGGGCCCTTACCTCAGCCCAAAAACAAGAACTGGTGATCCTATGTCTGGTTCTATCCCCGGACAATTTGTTGAACAAATGCATGTTCTTGGACGATAATATTCGAGGTAATCTTAATAACCAATTTTTCGAAATTTCTGCCGTTCAAAATCAGCTGGTGGTGTCCAGAAGTATTGTTGTCAATGGCCAGCGAAAACGGGTGAATAAAATTATGATCTGCAGGCGAGCTTGGCTTCAAACAAACTTTTTTCAGCCGATGCAAACCATGTCATTTCTGATGAGACTTCGGGCACTCTAGGAAAAAGTTTTCTGAATTTAACGTTTATTTGGTGTTGGGGAAGAACTGGATATTTTCTGTTATTTGGATATTTTCTGTTTGTTTTTTTTTTTTGTTATTTGGATATTTTCTGTTATTTAATTGTTATTTGGATATTTTCTGTTATTTGTTTCATTTACTAATGGTTCTTAGTTCAAACTTTGTACATGTTTATCCATGTTAGCAAAAGAGATAATTGAAAATGCATGATAGTTTTTAATAAGCTTGTGTATTTTATTTGCTAGTTTCCTTCGATACCTTCATATGCATGGTTAAATAAATGTTCATATTTATTATTTAATGACCCTGTATACAATAGTATATAAATACTGCATGTCCACTGTAGTTGAGGAAAATTTTCACTATAAGAAACCAAGGCGCACTCTTAATGTTACCTTCATCTACATGCAAAATATATCATATTATTATGAATGTTTATACAAATACATATAACACCGAACAGTGCGCGCATATATTCTGCGCGGTCCATATTTTTTGGAATAGCAGTTTCGTTTAGCAGTGTTGAATGTGCCACGCTTGAGGGCTTGGTTTCATCATTCAGAGGGTAATAGTGTTTTTTTTAACAAATGTTTCTCGATGAATCAAATATAATTGATTTACCTGAAAGTATAACATTGAAAATGTTTTTAAATAAATTTATATTATTCAAAGGTGTAAATATTGAGATGATCTATTTCATTTTCAACATAGGGTACATTTCGTTCTGTCACAGGAAAATTAAATTATCAGTTCAAAGACAACAAAATATTAATGAGCAAAGTTGATTAATGGCGAAAACGCATGCAAATTAAGTATCCACTTACTTTATCTTGGATATATATATAATGTTAAAAATGTACTTGAATTGATTAAACAGTTCATTGAACTATAGATTTCAGTTTATTCAATTTTAGATAAAAGGGAAATCACTTTAAATGCACAAAAGTGTCATGAGATTAGAATTCTTTAGTGTGCGGGAACATTAATATTTTGTTACTATGCCCGGAGCAAAGGTTTCAAAAGGGGGGGGGCAATTCCCCAAAATTATCTGACAAGCAAAAAATAAAATAATGTCCAAATCCTGGATTTTGCCAGAGCTCGACCAGCATCTAAAGCAAAATACTGTACTCAGAAAAAAAGGGGGCACCCTCCCCTCATTCTACGGGCCTGGTTACAAAGAAAAAATATGAATGCATGGATCGGTATAAATTTGTGAACTTGTTATTAATGTGAACATCAAATTCATTAAATATTACAAAATTGCAGATTTTCCCGCGAATCCATGTCATTGCACAGTACCATCAAGCTGACAGAAATCAGTCCCAGAGCAGTCCCGGGAACAGCTTTCTGGGACTGCTTGGGTGTCAGGTTGTATATATATAGCGCGCGCGCGCGCGCGCTCACGCAGACACACCCTCACACATATTTTAGATCCCCGTGCAATACAAACGATGTTACGTTATTGTACATCGCATGTAAAAAAAAAAAATAAATAAATACAGAGAAAAATTGCTCATTAGTTTTGACCAAAAAAATTTAATATCAGCAACTGAGAGAGAGAGAGAGAGAGAGAGAGAGAGAGAGAGAGGCTAGTGTTTTGGAGTCTTTTTTACTTGTATTATTTTAGTTGTTGTTGTATAACAAACAATTTCATTCGTTTTGCAAACATTATGATTCTTCTATCAGAGATAAAATGTTTTCAAGAAAATTGTAATACATGTATTTCAATGAAACGGTTAAATTGCATATTTTCTTCTTTGAATACTACTACAACTATGTAAGTTGAGTTTCAAAGAGTGAAAAGTAAACATCGAAATCTATATAAAATTAAATTCCATCCTAGAATTCTTAATTATTTTTTGAAGGTTTAATTGCAAATAAACTTTTGGACTCAAACTTATGTAGATTATAAATATTATCAGCACTTCGAGACGCAGTGATATATTTAGTTGATGCTATATAAGGTTAAATTTTATGACTTCCTTTCTTGGGATTCATTTAAATAATTTTGTCTATTTACCAAACCTATTGGGATGAACTTTTTTTAAAATACCGTTAATGCATGCATTGAACCGTAATTATCTAGGTCTACATGTATATATACCAAAAAGTATATAAGCAAGTTAATGTGATACCCTAGTAAAAAAACATACGTATTTACAGAAAAAAAGTCCCCTTCTTTTCTGGTATTTTATTTGTATTTGATGTACAATGATTAAAAAGATAGCGATTAATGGGGCATCCCCTATTTGATCAAAATACAAAACCAAGGAATCAGTTTTACCCTGCTCAACATAAGGATTGTTAAAATCTAATCAATAAAAACTCAGAGGGCGTAATTCATGGCCGTAGGAACCGGGGGCACGGGGGGGGGGTGCCCCCCCCCCCCAATAATTTTGCCGATATATAGAATACTATAGAAAATATAGCTACTATATGCGTGTGCCCCCTCAATAATAACGTTTGATGACCTTTTTTTTTTGCTTGTCAAAGAATTTTGGTAGTTGATAGTGCCCCCCCCCCCCCAACTGAAAATGTATGGTTGTGCCCCCCTCAAAGTGAAATTGCTTCCTACGGGCCTGTAATTTAAAGAGCAGGGGCACTTGGGCTTTCATTACCCTCATAATTTAATTAAAATCAGACTTCTTAGATCCGCGCTGTATACACTCTGCGTAAGAAGAGTGTATACGGTGCGGATCTAAGAAGTCGGATTTTAATTAGATTGATTGCCTTCTCTTCTTCTTGCCAATTACTTATCCCATAATTTAGGAAATTTCACAATTTAAACATGTAAATCAAAAATAATATCCTTAAAGAAATTGCTGTATCATGTTTGCTGTTTCTTAACAACTTTTGGTAAAGATTAGCCCCAACATTTTTTCTCTCTCTCTCTCTTTAAATTACACTTAAAATCTTTTTTAACTCCGAGCCGAAGGCTCAACTGAGCTTTTCTGATCGAAATTTGTCTTTGTCTGTCGTTGTAATCTTTTCACAATTTCAACTTCTTCGCAGGAACCACTGGACCAATTTCAACCAAACTGGGTGAAGGGGATTCAAGTTTGTTCAAATGAAGAACCACGAGCTCTTTCAAGGGGAGATAATTACAAATAAGTGAACAATGAATTGCATCTTTTAAAAATCTTCTCGAGAACCACTAGGCCAGGAAAGATGAAACTTATAATACGTGGAATTATCCTCAGGTGGTGAAGATTCAAGTTTGTTCATATCATGACCCCCAGGGGTAGGGTGGGGCCACATTGGATGATCAAAGTACATGTATTACATAGGAATATAAAGGAAAAAAATCTTTAAAAATCTTTTTCTCAAGAACAGCAAAGTTATGATTGGTCTTATTTATATGAAGGCATCCTCAGGTAGTATAGATTCAGATTTGATCAAATCATGACCCCCCGGGGATAGGGTAGATTCAGATTTAAATCATTACCCCTGGGGGTATGGTGGGGACACATTAAAACTTATAGGAAAAAATGCCACAGTTCATCAGAGAAATGTGTAAGCATCCTTAGTGTAGATTCAAGTTTGTTCAAATCAAACCCTTCTTTTTTTAGGGGTAGTTTAGGGCCACTTATGCATTCATACTTTTTAATACTGAACTAATTTCAAGCCCATAGGCCTCTTGTTTATCCATTCGTCCCTAGTTTTCTTCAGCTACTATTACTAATACATGTATTAAATAAATTATTGAAAAGGACTAGATATGATGAGGGCCTGTCCAGAGACATGGATTAAACAAAAAGAGAAAGTTTGTGAACAGGTTTATTCTAACTTTTTCCATCTTTCATCAATCTTATTAGCAATTGGAATCTTTGTTCTACTCACAAATAGTCCCACATGATACACAAACATATTAAGGGTCACTACAGATGGTCCTTTCAAAAAAATACATTGTATACATATTTCATAAGTTATACAGGTTCATTTGAAGGCAGATGAGTAATATTCATCTTCCAGCTCGAACAAGTCGATGGCCATTTCGTCCCTGAGTGAGGTGAGTTTGTTATCAAGGTCCTGCTGTAGAGATTTGCAGTTCTTGGCGTTCCTGATGATCGACTCATTCACAGAAGGAAAGTCATTCAGAATCATAAACTGTTTAAGATCAGACACAGACTTCATCAGAGATTCTCCTGCTCTCACCTGCACAGAAAATTCAGTGCAATTTTAACTAGATGCTGTCATGAGACAGTAATACCCGCACTAAGGTGTTTGCCTCTAAATGCACACTCCTTCATATTGGGCTTACCAAGGAAAAAGTCCAAATAATTCTATAATTTACACAGTACATGTATTCGTCAAATCGAGCATAAAATGCTCAGGTGACCATGTGACCCATGAACCTCTTATACGCATTTCATATACTTAATTCATTACCAGTCTGAAATAACAGAATTTAATTAATGATGTAAATTAGGTTTTGATAAAAAAGGGGGGGGGGATAATAAATTTTTGGCCCATAGTGGAACTTTTTAAATTTATTTTCTCAACAACAAATAATATTATTTTAGTACAAAGCGTTTTTGATGAATTTATCAAAGTGTGCAAACTTTTTTTAGTATTTGATTAGGCAAAAACCTCCTTGAAAAGCCATACCCAATCAATTTTGTCACCCCCCCCCAACACACAAACACACAATTTGCCTGTTTTTGGAAATAGGCCTAGATGGCAAAGTTATGTTAAAACATCGTTTGTTATGATAATTTAAAATTTGTTCTTGTACTGTACCTGTATGTGAACACCTTTTTGAAAATTTCTACATCACATTGGGCTTGCGTCACCCTACCAGTACTAGTACTAGTTTTACCATTATCATCTTTAGATTGCACATGGTGCATTGTTACATGTATATCAGTGGAAATTAATTCATTTTGTGTTTTAATTGGATTATATTTCATGAAGTTGACAGGACCTATGACAGTCGGTAAGTACAAGTTTAAGTATAGATTGGGGTAAAATAAACTGAAATGCAAATGGTTAGGTTAAAGTTTAAAAAGGATCAAAGATCATCGGCAATCTCCTATGCAGAGTTGTCGTTCGTTTCTCTCTCAGACACTGAATGTAAGAGTGGATCATCGGATGCCACAATAGACGAATTTCACATTCTGAAGAGTTATCTCCCGTTGTCGACATTACATTCAGTTACAGGCACAGATCCAGGAATTTTTTTCCGGGGGAAGGGAGGGGGGGTCCACACCCCAGTAAAAAAAAATTCCAGCCCAGAATTTCCTGAGGAGCAAAAAAAGAAAAACAAACAAACAAAATAAAAACAATGATGGTGGGGTCCATGTTTTTAAAGGGGGAGGGCATCTGTCATTTTTTATTTGCTTCTGTAAATCAGTATATAGTCCTATTTAAATAACTCTGCAAATTCCAGGGGGGGGGGGGGGTCCAATCTCCCTAGCCACTCCCTGTCCCTGAAATGACAAATGACCATGTGACTCCTAAATAGTAGAAAACTTTTCCATTTGACTATACATAATTTTGTTTCTTGTGTTATTATGTTATGTACATTTAATGGTTTAAGGTTATGAACCCCTGGAGGTCATCCCCACTCTCTTAATGAACTGGAAATGTTCATAATATGGCTACATCAAATTAAATAAAAGTGCATCAATGATAACATGGATAAGATTACTTGACATTTCATTCATGAATTTGGGTCAAACCATGTACCCTCCTAGAATTAGGAATGAAAATCATTCAAAGAGATGAACCATTAAACTATTTGTATATATTCACATTTTTTTTATGGCAAACCAAAGTATTAGACTAGTTTGCATACATGAACAAACAGGGGTCTGGGAAGGGGAAGGGCGAGGGGAAGGAGTTATCTCTTTACGTCTTAATTGTTGAAAACTCCTAAAATGAATGTTAACCTCAAATCCGACTTGTACATCTTTATTTTTAAGTGGTGTTGTCTCCGTATGAGTGAAAAATTCCCAAGAGGGACATTTAACAACAAACAAACATTAATGACTTAAAAAACACAATATACATGTACATGTTTATTAGTTAACGGATATACTTCTGATCATATCTCTAGTTCTCCCTTGAATCAGAAATGATGATATAAATATTTTAAGAATGATTAAGAGTTGAAAATTAAGGTTGTGCATTTGAAAATTGACTAACCTCTGTGGTTGAATTAGCTATACCAGTTTAGCTTATTTTGCTACTCAAAGCACCTTGATTAACTATTTTTAATCATACTGTTTTCTGAAATGTGAAGTTTTTTCAACATGGATACAAGTCATACCTTTTCAGCTTCTGAAAACAATGCATGAAAAAAACTGCTTTTCAAATACTGTAACTCTTTCCAAGTACTTGTGATCATCAGTTTTTAGCTCACTTGAGTTTTTCTGGTTTTCTGATCACATTTTGTTTGTCATCCATCTCTCCGCCTGTAAACTTTTCACATTTTTGTCTTCTTCACTAGAACCGCTGGGCCAATTTCAACCAACCCTGCCACAAAGCATCTTCGGGTAAAGGGGATGCAAGTTTGTTCAAGTGAAGGGTCACACCCTCTTTCAAGGGGGGATAATCAAGAATTAGTGAAAATTTGGTGGTATCATTTTAAAAAAGTCTTATAAAGAACCACTGACTGGGCCCAAAAAGTTGAAACTTTCTTTACATAGACTTAGTGTAGCTTCAAATTTGTTCAAATTATGACCCACTGGGGTAGGGTGGGGCCACATATGGGGATCCAATGATTTACATAGAAAAATGCAGGGGATTTTTTCCATCATAAATCTTCTTCTCATGAACAGCAAGGGCATTATTGTCATCCGTTTTCGCAAAAGGGACCTAGGGGACATTAAATCTCATTTGTTTGTCAGTCTGTCCATTTGTCAGTCTGTCCGTCTGTCACAATAAATTTAACCTTGGTCATAACTTCTGAATAATAAGAGATAGGGCTTTCATATTTCACATGTACATTACCTACAAGAACTTTCTAAACATACCATGATTTTTGAACCCATGACCTTGACCTTGAAGTTTGACCTACTTTTCAAAATATTTAACATTATTTTAAATTGATCATTTTGAAAGAGAAAAGATAGGCCGTTGAATTCATATTATACATGTATATTACCTGTGACAAGACCTTTCTAAATGTATCATGACTTTTGACTCTGTGACTTTGACCTTGAAGTTTAACCTACTTTTCAAAAATGTTATATTTTCTTATAACTTTTGATTGAGAAGAGATAGTACTTTAATATTTGACATGTACATTACCTGTAACAAGATGTTTCCAAGCATGCTATGATTTTTTTTACCCCTTGACCTTGATGTTTTACCTAATTTTTAAAAATTTTAACTTTGGTTATTACTTTTGAATGACATATGATAGGGCGTGCATATTTGAAACAATATGTCATAAATAATGGCATCCCATCCACAAGGACATGGAAAGCAGGGGACCACAATTCTTTGAATTTGCTTGTTAGTCATATTTTGATATGGAAACATCCTCATACAGTGTAGATTCAAGTTTTTTATGCCCTGCCATGAATATGGCCGAGGCATATAGTGTTTGTCATGTCCGACTTTAATAAAACATCATATGCTGATACATACTGATGTAAGCTTTTCAACTGCATCAGCCTTTTTGACCTTGACTTTTCCTTTGACCTTGACCTTACTTTTCTTAAATTAGTGTCTAGATCAGTTTTGAATAAACAATTCAAGATATATTTATCAAACTTCATATGCTGATATATACTGCTGAGAGCTATCAATTGCATCAACTTTTTGACCTTGACTTTTCCTTTGACCTTGACCTCACTTTTTTAAATTAGTGTTTATCTACATTTTAAATAAACCATTTATGATATTTTTATCAAACTTCATATGCTAAAAGTAAATACATACTGATATAAGCCTTTCAACTGCATCAGCATGTTGACCTCAACCTTTCCTTTGACCTTGACCTCTCTTTTCTCAAATAAGTGTTAAGCTCAGTTTAAAATAAACCATTCAAGATATTTTTATCAAACCTAATATGCTGATATGTATTAGTGAGAGCATCAAAAACTTTTCACCTTGCACTTTCCTGTGACCTTGACCTCCCTTCTCTTTAATTTGTTTTTTGCTTAGTTTTAAAGAAACAATCTAAGATATATTTATGTAAGCAAGCACTTATACATAATTTTGTGAGAATTTATCATCTATATCCATTTTTTTTAGATTTTAGTTTCAATTTTAAAGAAACTGTTCAAGATATTCTCATCAAACTTCATACACTCATACAAATTTTCATGTTGCATTAATAATATACATTCGGTGAGGCATTTATGTCCTATGGACATATTTCTAGTTTTCAAATCATGACCTCCGAGTATAGGGTCAGGCCACAATAACGGATCAAAGTTTTATAGAGGAATAAAAGGAAAAAAAATCTTCAAAATTCTTTTTAAGAACAACAAAAGCATGATTAATATGGAAACATTCCCAAGAAGTGTAGATTCAAGTTTGTACAAATCATGACCCCATGGGTTAGGGAGGGGCCATTTTTTTCCTGCCCCTATTTGCTATCCACATGGAAATGCAAATTTTAAAACCATTTTACACATCCACAGGATAAAATCAATCATCTTCCAAATGATCATGATTTAAGGCTAGTGCATAAAATATAAGGGAAGTTCTGGGAACCAGGATGTTTAAACATGTTAAATATTTTTTAAAAAAAATTTGACCCCCATTTGACCCCCAGGGAGAAAATAAGAATTCCGAAACCTTACTGCAC